TTCAGGGTACTGCGTTGCGTGTCCATCGTTTGTGCAGGTAGACCGGCAGCCCACTGGGAGAATAAATCAGCACATTAGGAAGCTTAAAGTGCTCCTGCTGCTACATCCGCTGAGACACCACTGTTTAGATGTCTGGCCAGCACTGGCACTTTCAAGCGTATTCCTATGTGGGTCTGAGCACACAGGGAATTTAGGTCAGCGTGCGGTTCCCACAGACTCAAAATGCATGTGGTAGAAATTACAGAAAGTACATGAGCTCATGTAATTCATCTGCCTAATGCTGACAGAGGGGAATAATTACTACAACCTGGTTATCCTCAATTTCTACCGGTATGCTCCCTTACATAGAAGCACTCCAATTTGTGGAGCTACTGAATCCAAAAAAAAAAAAATTAATCCATTAATGCAAAACCCACTTTAAAGCAAACGTTTACCTTAACAGAGTTTTAATTCTATAAGACAACTTGGGTGTTAAATCTATATTTATTTCACCATTAACTGCAGTAAAACAAAGAAAAAACACCTGATTAAGTCTTTACTATGTTCTAAGCTGATTTGGGTCTATACGTAAGTGAAGACTTTATAGTTTTACCACAGTCAAAAAAGTGAAAAAGTCTCAAAAACGATGCCAACCATTTGCTACTTCTATAGGATTTGAGACTGAAAGGAAAGCATCAGGTGTTGATATAGTGATGGGTACCGAATTCTTTCATGGACGTACCTATGTACGTAAAAATAAAAAAAAAGCCATATGATCTCAGTAGTCAGCAAAGCAAGTATGACAGAAAGAGCTATGGCTCCCCTTTTCAAAGTACAGTACAGTGCCTGTTATGCACTCTGCAATACTTCTGAGTCAAGAACAGTGTTGGGAATACTTCTTGGATAAGTGCAAGATTTTTCTAAAAGCTGAAGAGTGGCAAATTTTCAACAGCCTCCAAGCTTTGGCAACAACTCCTGCATTCAGCACCATTATCACGTCATCAGCCATCATCATTTTTATCTGCTCCACTGAAAGTCGGAAGCCGATTCCCAGGCATTGGTAATGTATCGGTTCTAATGTGAAAGGTACATATCCCATATGACCATCATGGTTTGCCGAAGGTTGCATGGGCCTTAAGAATAATTCGATTTGACTTTTATTGAAACTAAATTCACAAAAATGTATCTAAAAAAAAAACTGTGGCCTAGATCTGGTGTATTTGGTGTCAGGACTCCTGTCTGTGTGTTCGTGTTCTGCGTTTGTCTCCCTTCCTCCACCAGGAGGTGCATGGTTCTGGTCCGCCTCCTCACACACCTGCTGATGGTTTCCTCGTTAACGGAGTGTTCTTAAGCTGCTGACTGCCACTACCTCAACGCCAGAGTGTTTCCCAGTTTTGGGAAGTCATCCTGCAAACTGGATTTTTCAGACCTTCTCTCCCTAGAAGGATCAACAGAGCTTCAAGCTGAGCAGGGGTTACAAACAGGAGGTTTTGGACCCACTTTCCCCAAGAGAACGTTTGAGCTTCACACTGAGAAAGGGATTCATCTCCACTACAACCCCTTCAAGTACCGCAGGAAATCTGAGTGGCAGTCAGTTTCTCCCTTCACCTACAGTACAAACAACCGCATTCTGGGTAAACCCTGTTCAGCCCTCCACCAAATCAGACAAACACTGGAACAACAGCATACAGAGTGGAGTCAAAGATTCAGCAACTTCTCTGGAAACGTGAGTCAGCAACCAGATCCTCTTCTCCAAGTTCACGAATCAAATTTCAAATTCAACAATTGATCAATTATTCATCTAAAATTAAATCCAAGCACAGGCCTCCAGGCAAAGGTGTGGTGATGGCTAACTTGTGGAATGCCAAAGCAAATGAACTCAGACCAGTCTGCGTAAATGCAAGAAGAAAATTAAAAATAAGAGATATATTAAGATATATATTTTTAAATGAATAATTGTTGAAGAAACATCTTATTTTTATTATTTTGTCATATTTTATGGCACACAAGTTGATATTATTAGCTAATATTTCAAGCAAATTTTTTTTAATTAAGCCCTTCATTCATTGTTGTATGCATTTTTAATTTTGGCAGGATTGTTCCTCCATAGATTTTACACTGATCTTAATAATAAGAGGACCATGAGCCCCGTTCATTCTCTGAGTTTATGGGTCTGATCTACTATGCTCTCAAACAGAGTGTGTTAAATTGCCTATATAAAAAAAATGACCTTCTCCCTCCAAATCATGACCGATTACTCATCAGGGTATCTTCAAAGCACAACTCATACTTAGAAGAGCTTCTGGTATCTGAATTGTTCCAGCTGTCACAACCAGACAAGGTTATTGTTTCAACTTTTGATAGTAACACCACTCAGAAACGTCCTTTATCCGTCCATATCCAGAAACGTCCATATCCAGACATACACAACCCACAAAGCTGTTTTTGTTTCTAATGAATGGAGATTTTTTCTTTTTTAATTAGAGCATATGTTAAAGTAATCTGTTGATTAAATAAAAGAGAAAGTAGATGACAGGTTAGCCAGAAGAAGCTTTCCAAATACTTCAACAACTGCATAAAAACAATAAAGAAGGCAAAAAATTGATAATTTGTAAAGCATAACTTGAGCAGCAAGAAAGGTTGAGTATTTTCAGCAGAATTTATGTGTGAACAGCAGCAATAATATAGACATATGGAGAGAAGTGATTCATTTGATTATTTCATAAATTATACCATTGATTAACACAAAAAAATTTCCAATTTGTGAAAAAAAGAAACAGAATCTTCATATGGTGGTCAATATACACAAGTACAAGTGCAAGGCATTGCAACACCCCCATGAAATAAATCTAATTTGGGAGCTGACACAGACTATTACAGATAATCCATCCAGATGCAAGAAAGGATTTTTTTTTTGAATGGGAGATGTAACATGGCTTCTATTCACGACTGACTCAAATTCTGCCCTTAGTTCCTCCAGCATCTTAAAAACAGATTTGCTTTTTAGACGATATAACTCTCCATTTCTAACAGTCCAAATATTTCAACATGCACATGGAAGATTATCTCTCTTCGATGTCTTATTATCTGTTACCTTTGTCTACTCGCTGCGATGACCAAAGTTTTGCGCAATGCATCTGATTATATACAGCGAAACGGCACATAATATCCGTTTCATGTTTGATAAACTGCATAGCTGGTAGGTGATTACAGTCGTCATATTCCTCTCCCAATACTTTACATGTTATGATGATCAGTGCATGTTTGCATCAGCTGCTCTGCTTATTTTACAGACATTCCTGGATGCATCTGGTCAGTAGATCAGCTTTGCTCACCCTAACAAGTTTGTGGACCTTTTTTGAAGGCCACCTACACCCTGAGGATCTTTTACTCTTACATTTCATGAACACTGACCAAAACCTTTTTTATTCAGTAGGTAAATAAAACAATTTTATGACAGTTCTGAATTCCATCCAAATAGATTGTGAAATACAGATTAAGTGAGTTAATTTAAATTACCAATGCAACTGTAGAACTGTAGAATTTGTAGCATCAATACATCAGGTGGTTTCTGAAAGTTCTTTAAAAATTACTCTGTATATTAAGTACAAATGTACTAATGCAGTAGAACATTTAATTTGTATTTTTTTTTTATAATTTAGTACTTTGAAATGCATGTACTTTTGAATACTTGACTATTTTCAAAAGTGAGTACTTCAATACTTTAACATGAGTAGATGTTTGAAGGTGTAAATGTTACTTTTAGTTGAGTAAGATTTGATTATGAGTATCAGTACTTTTACTCAAGTACTTCTGTTGAGTACTTCGTCCACCTCTGCTTACGATTTGTTCCTTTTGAATAGAAAACAAACATAGTGGTGATTCAGGAAGGATTTCCCTTTGTTTTTGATCATTTTCATCCTGTTCACTAGTGCTGGTTTTAAAGGGCTCCTAAGCCCAGGCTGTCATCTCGACCAGGAGTTTTTTCTTTCATCTAGAGCTGCATTGATAATCAGGGGCATTTAGTATTGGTTCAGGGTCATGTGAATACCTTTTAATTACAATCCTGTAACTAAAAACACTTGTAAAAAAAAATGTGGTAGGTTTAAGTTAATCAAACCTATAATCAAAGCGTAAAATAAAAAAGAAAATAATGAATTTGAATAAACCTTCCGCTAGTTCAGCAGTGCATGGTCATTATAAAACCATTAATTAGCTGCATTAGAATAGAGAAAAGCTTTAAATAGAATAACTTGTCATGATCTTGGCACCGTAGGCTGGGTTTTACTTTTTTTTTTTTCTCTTATCTGCTTTGCTCCTCCCCGGCTCTATTATCTCTTATCAGATCCACCTGTTTCCTCTCCTATTTATGCCACCAGTTCCCAGCCCATGGTGCCAGATTATTCAAGCTTCCAGCCTGTCTAGTTCTAGCGTTTCTCTGT